TCTTCCTTTGGAACTTAACTATTCTTCTTTCTTCTGTTAATGTCAATAATTTCCTTTGGACCAAAAGAAATTGTTCATAATTTCCAACGAGAAGTTTTTTCTAGTAGTGCTAGATTGTGATTTTTAGAATAAGTTATTTACAATCAACAATATAAAACTATCGCAATGATGTGCATCATGAATTATGCCACACAATTTCGATGGACTATTCACTAATTACCCGTTGACTTTGATGTAGATTAAGAAATAAGTTGCACTATTTATGAATTGGAAATGGTGCAACTTATTATAAATGTTACATTATAATTATAAATTAATCAATAATATTTATAACATGTTTTTACATTATGTGTTTCAGATTTATGCTCACACATATAACATTATTTAATAGACGTGGGTTTTAGTGAAACGAATCACTCAATTTTTAGTAGTTAAAAAAAGTTTATAGCATATTACTTTAAATTTGTGAATTAAGACGTATTGCTTGCATATGCACATAAATGGTGCATATCGATGTGGAAGTGTGGCATATTGACAAGGATACTTATTGCCACAAGCTGCTTCAAGTACATACTAATATTACTATACTGTTATTTTTGCTTATATAAAACAGTTATGAATGATCCAATATGCTTCTATCATATATTGAAAAAACAAATATTAAATAATTTTGCAACTGTCCATTAGTACAATATTAAAAAGTTCAAAGAAATGTCACATATGTAGAGAGGGAAAAATATATTGGACAACTTTACTATAACCATCCAATATAAACCTTATATTGGACAGTTATGGTCAATAAATGTCCAATATGTTATATTATTTTTATAACTGGGGGCTTTTAATAGTACAATTTAAATATAATGAAAAGTATAGTTCAATAATCCAGACCGAAATTATACTAAACTAATAACAATTATATTAAACTAATAATTTTATTAAAACTATATAAAAACCAATATTATTTGTTATACAATTGCTCAATGGTAAAAAAATATTATTTACTGTACTAAATCAAAATTATTCTAACTTATAAAACATAAATGAGAAAAAAATGATATAAAAAAAGTCCAACTCACTTATTTTTTACTCACAATTGAAAAGTATACTCACACCATTTCTCAATCATTTCATTGATGTGATGGTCTTTGAATTTTTCATAGTATGAGTTAGGGTAATACTACAATAATATAATAAAACAACAGAGTTAATTAACTAAGTAAATTAAAATTCATAATCACACATAATTGAAGCTAAATAGCATATATACTGTAGTGGGGATTAAAGTCATCTCTTAAGTGATGACGTCTTTGAGAAACTTTATCATGCAATATTCACAATTCTCATTATATGTTATTTATCGCGAGCACTACATAAGGAAACCAATAAATATGTTATAGAATTAATTAAAAACTTAATATTGATTGTTTAAATTAATAGTGATAAGTACCTTTATTACAAAGGTGCATAATGTTATTATGATCTGTCCCATACTCTAATGCAAATCTAACAAACTCCTTAACTTCATCCACATATTCTTTCATGACTCTATTTGCTAACATCCTTTTGTTGTTTATGATCTCTCTTAATCTAACAAGAATTATTGAGAAAAATGACATTAGTAGCACAATTATATTTAAAGAGTTAATTTAATGAATAAATTAACCATTAACTCAATCAAATTATGAACCACATACTTTCACATATATCATTCCTTTTTAAGCTAATCAAATTTAAGATAACACTTATAGTTATGTTAAACTAATTATAATCCATCTTAAATTAAAACTCGACAATATAGCGGCTTAAAAATAGAAATTTTTTAAGTTATTTGTCCTCATTTCAATCACAAAAAAATAAACAATAACATCAATATTATGCAGCCTCACATGATCACAACTTCAGAAAGGTCGTAATCCAACAGCACAAATTGTAAATTCACAATCCAACAACAATCTCAAAAAGGTCCCAAACTAATTACCAAATTTCGGTAAGAGAGTTTATATAATCACATTCAAACTTTAATCTAAACTATTACTTTCAAACCATAATCTAAACAATTATTTTTAAACTTGGATAAAATAATGGCTTAAAAGTAGAATTTCCCCAAACATTTTGCCCTCACTTTAGATTGAATTTAATTCTTGTATCATCTTATATCACCTAATTCAACTTAATTGCAATACGAACCAAATTAAAAACAGAGTTTAAAAAATTAGAAAGCTAAGTAATACAACCTTCATTTATTACTATTTAAAGTACAATCTAATAGCATAATGATATAAAAATAAAACTTTACCGGGCATTTAGCCCTCTTTTCATTTAAAATTTAATTCATATGCAATCTCAAATACAAAAACTAAATCCTCACAAAAACCAAGGCAGGCATTTTGAAAAAAAAAAAAAAACTAAAACCCGATAGCAACCAACAAATTAATTCCAAGCTCAAGATAATTCCACCATGAATAGATGAAGAAAAATTATGGGAGGGATTGGAAAGCAACTTACAATGAAGAGAGCCAGGGATAATTTTTGAAATTGGGTTCGAAATTAAGTAACAAGATGGTGAGACGGTGAATAATAATAATAATAAAATCGCCAAAAAATACAATGCCACAAAAATCACAACCCCACATGGTGAAATCAAATGAAAACCATAGAGAGAGATGAATTAAATTTACATGGCTTGAAGAAGTGAAACTTGCAGAGAATGACGTCTTTTAGCTCCCAAATGCATAAGGAATGCCATGAGCTTGCGGACGAGGTTTCCTTGAGCTTGCGGACGAGGCTGCAGAGTGGAGAAAGGAGGAAGACGAATTCGTGAGAGGCAATGTAGGGGTTTGGTCGGCAAGATTAATAGAAAACGAGGGGGGAAATTGCTCGAGGAAGAACGACAATGGGGACAATGGAGTTTTAATTCATGGACGTTCCAAAAAAATTAAATTCTATGAACTCATATTAAATAATTTCATTGATAACCGTCCAACATACTTTACCATCTCCTCTTATTGGACAGTAAGCAGCAGTTATCAGTAATTTTGTTATAGTATCATCAACATGCCTTCTATCAGTTGGGACAGCTTGTAAAATACAAAAATTGAAGGAATTGACCTTGCGGTTGTGATCATTTTAATTAAATGTAAGGAACAATATTGCAATATGTCCCTAAGGAATTGTGCCTAAATTCTTAACCATTATTATTGTTTTTTTGGCCATGAAAATCTTAACCATTATTCACTCACTAAATGGATGACCTGTGCATTACTTAAAATTAAGGGTTGTGATTCAATGTGAGTTGTTAACTATATAAGTTAATTTTATAATTGAGATTTATGATATTGATAGCACAAGCATGCACACGCGCAAGTTTCTTCATCATCATTTTGTATATATGTTAATTCACAATCTTTGTTTTTTATTTTCCCACTTAGCAAATTGCAAAGCTGAAAGAGCTGACCTCCAAGTAACATCAAATTTAAAAACATTAAAAAATTTTTCCATTAAAAAAAATCAAATCACAATGCTATTCCTCCCGACTCATGCCATAAAATCTTAATGAGTTGTCACTATTTTTTTATAAGAAATTTAAAAATTTAATTATGTTATTTAGTATTTATAAATAGTACGTAATGGTAATGGTTTTATATTTTACATTAATAATAGTTATGGTTGTCCTCCTCTTCTTTGTTTTTAGTTTTTTCTTAATTAAATTGTTTTAAATAATTAATCACACTTTTGTTACCCAGCTTTTTTTTTTGTTCAAAGTATTCCCACAGTTGAGAACTGTAAATAAAAATCTGCCTGTCAGGCCTTTTTTTTTGGGGGGTAAGAAAGGGCTGAGCCCAATAAATTAAAACAAGACGAGGTCAAGGGATTGAAATCCCAGAGTCTTTCAATGCAAGGTCCCTCAGGAAGTGGGGAACAACATCAAAGAGAGAGCGGGAGGAAATCCCTTCCTTTGCTAGTAAATCAGCGGCTAAATTTTGTTCTCGTGGAACAAATGTCACAAGCACATTCCAGTCCATAAAGGATGTGGTTCTGGATTTCCAACAAGACTAGGCCTTGTTTCATTGTAATTCTCGACTCCACATTTTCTTTCGGTCTGAATGGAGTAGTTCAAAAATGGAGGCCCAACTTTGTAATTGAAAAATACATTTTCCAACCCATGAGAAGTCTCTGTGTGCGTGTGTGGGTTTTAGGCCCTTTATTGTGTTTGTGTGGGCGTGTGGTTGTACAAGGTTAAATTATATAAATATGTACAAAAGGTTAATAATTAGAGATAAATTTCTCCTGGACTTTATTGTTTAAAATTAAATTTCTGCAGTAAATAAATACTTTTTAATTATTAGTGTAACCATACGTGCGATCTTTATATTTTTTTGGATGAGTATAATTGATATTAATAAATGATATAAGAAATAATACGAGTATAAGAGTGTGAGACAAACTTACATGTATGGTATATGATGCAAATTGCAGCCTCATGAGTGGCCTGACGAAACTTATTTCAATCAACCATGTTCTAAATATAAAGATCACACACACACACACAGAGCATATGATTAGTTGTGTACTTACTTTAATTGACAAAATTTAACAAAAAATAGTAAAAATTGATGAAGAGATTAAAAATAAAACTTGTTTAAATTATAACAACCTTGATTGCAATATTTTTAATCATATTAAAAAAAAAGAAACCAAATTATTATATTTAAAAAGCATAACTTATCTTGTCTTCGATATTGTTGAATTTTACTAAGGTAAGATTACTCACAAGAACCAAATGTAAAAATTATTTATCCACGAAGACCTTGAGTGTTAAATGCTTCAACAAGCACTTGCAAATCCGATTATTAAATACTTAAACTTAATTCTTAGGGATAAATAGTTTTGATAAACCTAGTTCTTGTAAATAATTTTCCGTTATACAAAGGTATTAGATGATATTTAATTGTTTGAATATGAAATTAAATATATAGACAAACCTAAGCAGACTTGAGTTTGATATGAATGGACCAAGATGGAACCCGGCCTTCACTTATATAAATACAATCCATGACCATATCATCACACATGTATTGGAAGAAAAAGCAAAATTCCACATCTCTCAAACTCTAAATATTTATATAAAACATCACACAGATTATGTAATTTTTTATACACGCGAGTATATGTCTATGTGTATATACATAGCATAAGCTCCAAGGAAGACTCAGAAATTAATCTGGCTAGTTATCTTCCTAATTATTTATGCAGAATTATTTATAACAAGAGAGAGCTAGCCAGCAAGCAAGCTTGCTTTTTGATTATGTTATAATTAATTACTAGGAATTCATAGATGGGAGGGTTTTGATTCAGTTTCAAAAAATGTGAACGAGTCTGGGCCTGCGAGCCTGGTTGTAGTAATTGGCAACCTCGCACTTGGGCACCGTCACCGTCAGCACGCCGTTGTCCATGTAGGCCTTGACCTGGCTCACCTTGGCGTTCTCCGGCAGACTCAGACGCTGCACCAACCTCCCGGTGCTCCGCTCCATCTGATACCACATCCCCTTCCTCTCCTCCCTCGCCACCTTCTTCTCTCCGGTGATCACCACCACCCTCTCCTCCTCCTCCACCTCCACCTTCACCTCGCCCGGCCTCAGCCCCGGCAGGTGCACCTTGTACACGTGGGCCTCCGGGTTGTCCTTCCACTCTATGTGGCTCGACGTCAGCGCCGTTCGCAGCTCCGGGTCATCGTAAGGGCCGTCCCAGACTTGTCCACGCGATGGTTCGTGTCGCCGGACACCGTAACCACCGTCGCCGCGAACAAGGGACATTTTCTTCTGTAATTAAGGAGATTAATATTGGATATTTAGCCGTGGATGATTTGCGAGGCAAGAAAAACAAGTTATTTATAGTGTGGCTGATGTGCATGATGATGTAAGTATAGATATGAAAGAATATGAGGTTATTATTATATATGCAAAGGGTGACACAGATTATAATTATATTAATTGAGAATATATATAAATTGATGGTAGCTCCCTCCTTTCCAAGTGAACACGATATATATGTGGAATCCAAGCATCTTAGGGCCACAGACCAGTGGAATTTGTTCTTTCTCTTGATTGAAAACAATTATATGATGGGTACAGTTTTAAACTTTTTAAGAACTGTTTTTCTTGTAAACAGACTAGAATTTTAACGTTGCTCGAAAAAAGAACTAAAATTTTAATAATGAGTGGCATTTTAAATTTCAAACAGATAGTAGGAAGAGATCGAAAATAAAAAAGAAGAAGAAAAGTGGGGAATGCCGGGGAAAAAAAAAAAACAGAGAGAGAAACTTTGGGTCTGTTTAGTTTTGTTCTATTTTTTGTCTCAAAAACTATTTTATTTCTTAATTTTAAAAATTATTTTTTAAATCCAAATAAAATAGTTGGTAAAAAAAATCAAAACAAAATGAAAATTTGATTGCTTATGTTAACTTCAAAAAATTAGAGTTAAAAAATGGTCAATAATCATGGTCCCAATGGTTAATGATGATAATTTATGAGGGTGGTTAACCATAGTTAAAAAAAAAACTTGCAAAAATAAAATGTATCGTGCTTTAAAAATAAAAATAAAAATAAAAATAAAAACAGTCCTAAGATATTTTAATTGTTTTTATTTTTTAAAAAAAATAAAAAATGAGAATAGTTTTAAAAATATTTAGATCTAAAACACTAACTCAAATAATTATTTTTTAATTTTTTTTAAATAAAAGAACATTTTTTTAAAGTAAAATTCAAACAGGTTTTTCTTTTCTTTTCTTTTCTTTTGTTTTTTGTTTTTTGTTTTTGAATGGAAACTGAATAACAAAACTAAACAAAGGAAACAAAATACAACAAGGAACAAAAAAGCTAAAAAAACTATCCTCTTTCATCATCTTCCATATCAAAATTAAGACACGGATGATGATTAAAGAGACAAAAATTAACTTCTAAAGTGTAAGATATGATATTGTTATCATCGCTAAGAACATGATTTAATTCAATTTGACTTCCCACAGAGAAATAAGATCTAGCTTGTGTGAATAGGAAGATGAAAGCAGCGTGAACATGAAGGTGAGTGGTGGTGTCGTGTTAATATGGAAATCACACAATTCCATTTCCATTCAAGCTTTTTTAAAGAGACGAGCATATTTACCAGGTGGTGCTTCTGATCTTGCTGTCACAAAATGTCTGTAGCAACAACTCGTGAATAATAGTTGATGGGATGGGGATGAGCTGTTGTAAATGATGAGTAGGCATCAATTCTTTCTAAGATATTTCCTCACCCCCTAAATATATGCTGCCTTTTTCATATTCTTTTTTGAGTACGTATGAGTTATAACCACCCCAAGCTTCAATTCTGGAATTTTTAATAATAATAATAAAAAAAATCTCCTATACCCATAACGGCGACAAGAAAAAAAAAAGGAAAAAGAAAATAAAAAACCCTACTTTTAACAAAGACAATTCTTGTGTGTTTTGGAATGAAAGTGATGAGCGTTAATGGTTTTGTAGACGATGTTAAAAGTTTTTTCATTTTTCTAGAAGCTCATTGTTATCGACTCCATGATTTCATGATTTGGCACTAGATTGTAATATGTAGACACTGTGTTTGAGACTATATATTTAATTATACCTAATAATGCCAGGTTATTTTTATGTTGGGGTAGAATTTATGAGGAGAATCAGGGTGAATCCTTTTTTGGGGACTCATATAGGCACATATAAATAATGAAACAACATTCCATCTTCACTAAAACTCTCAACTCAAATTTTTAAATTATTCTACACTTATTTATGTCTATATAATTAAGTTTTATTCTTTTTTTTAGGCAAAACTTCTAGTAGTTTCTATATCAACTCAAATCTATTCATAAATTTGATGGCTTGAAAAGTAGGCGAAATAAGGGTAAATTGTATGCAATTACCAAAGCGTTTCTGCCTTGTTCGTGTTGTACATATGCCAAGTCAGGTATCAAATTATCACTTGTTATTATTTATTTTGTTATTTCTTTCGAAATTGGAAATTGTCACTACGAAACAGCACTGCTCTTTTTATAATTGAGTTTGGACCTTCCGAACGCAATTTAGTTTTGAGGTGAGAGGCCGAGTCCTGATTGAAATATTACTTTAAAATAGCCACAATACCAAGCTTGTTAATCTTAATATAATGCGCCCAAAAGTGTTTATTTGTAAATATAATATTATTTAGTAAGCAACCAAAAAAAATTGAAGAAAAAGAGGGAATTTTCAATGTCAAACAATATTCTCTCCTCTCTTTTTTTGTACTTGTATTTTTTTTTTTAATGCACGAATTGTTCCTATGTCTACGTGATACACATGTTTGATTTCTTTTTGCCTAACCTTTTATCTCTTCACAACTGCAGGCAAACTGCTCGTTCTTCTTCTTGTTATAGTTCTTTTTTGTTTTTTTGGGAAAAAATTGCTTTCATAGAAGAATTGCATGTAAAGTTGGCAGTTTAGTTACCCATCATGCCTAAATAATTTTTAAATAACCAACAAACATTGATCCTAATAAGAGAAACTATAGCCACTTAGACATGATAATATTTAAATTTAACCCAATTAAGTAGTTATATAAAAAGAACTTACAATTATTTCCTTGGTTTTTATGTGGGTTTATATTGTTTTGAGGGTTAATATTGATTTTTGTTTTTAAACTATTCACTCAAAAACAACAGATATCTAAATTCATTGTTGGTCTCTTCTTCTAAAGTGTCAAAAAATGGGTCATTTTTGTCCTTATATGATAACCATTAAATGCCAATATAGAACGGATTTATGCCACCTGTCATGTCACTTGGCAAGCTGAATCTTTTTTTTTTTATTTCACCAACAAATCATTTTTTTTAATTAAAAACATCTCTTCTTCAGGTGGTGCACCAAAAACCCAAAAATTAAACACAAAGACGAACCCAAAAATGGACATTAGCAAATCCAAATACAAACCTAGAAATGCAAAAATCTCAGTGAACATAGAAACATCGAATTTAAAAGCATCATGACTAGATTAATATTATGATTGACCAAAAATTAGAAACATCAAGATCAAAGCAAAATAAATCGAACCAAAAATCTCTTTCATCAAAACTGAATAATTTCATGGAGTCTTAATGACATAGAATATACCCAGATCATTCATAAAATCTAGATCTCAGAGCTTCAAAAACTAGGAATCAAACCCTCAAACCAGAAATCATGAAATCATGACCAGAAATAAAAAATCGAACCTTTAAACCCATCATCTCCCAACATGCTTTAATCGAACTCTCAAACCTTCAAACTCAAAACTAAAAATCAAACTCGCAAACATTCAAACTAGAAATCTGGGATTAAAGTACATGAAGGGGAGATGCCGATCGAGGTGGGGCACATGCACTTTTACCCACAAAATCCCATTCTAAAACATCTCACAACCCAATTTCTTCTTTTGCCAATTGATCTTGCGGGCATGTTTGTTTTCTGTTTTTAAAATTTACTTTTTATTTTTAAAAATAAAAAATTTTAAAATTTATTTGGATAAGTGTCATTTAATTATTTTTATTATTTGTTTTTAAAAACAAAATATAAAAACAACTTCAAGTTATTTTTCTTTTTAAAATATACTACATTTAATTATGAAAAATTATAGTTATTTTGACTAATTTTTATTATTAATCATCGTCATTAACTTTCTATATTCTATAACCATTACTATTAGTTTATTTTTTAATTTTAAAATTATTTTTTAATTCACTTAATTAAATAAATTTTTATTTTATTTTATTTTGAACAACAATGTTAAAAAGTAAAAACAGTTACAAAACACTTTTTAAAAATAAAAAATGAAAGTAGAAATAAAAGACCACCAGCCACCAGGAGCTCCGACACAAATCGGAGGCCTTCAAGATCAAAGGCCGAGCCGTCGCGTCGTAAGCACGAGCAGCATCCTCAGCGGAGTCAAAGGTGACGAGCCAAGCACGCACTTTCTTCCATGGATCTCTGTTTTCAACGGTGAATCGACCCCATGGCCGCTTCCTGATACCTCTGAATCTGATTTCCACCATTGGTTTCTTAGATTCTTGACTGTTCTCTTTGGTGATTTTTGGAGATCGCAGCCTGAAATCGTCACTTGCTTCTCCATCTTCTTCCATCGATTGCGTTGCCTTCGAAATTGTTCTTGTCAACCGTCAACAGACAACAGCATCTTCACCCTGTATTAAGGCTTGTCCGGGGAGGGTGAACACGTTTAGTTGATTTGGTGAGGGGAGGAAGAGATGATACTCCAAGCTGATTTTCCAGATTCTTCATGAGAAGGGGGAGGGAGAGAGAGGGGGGAAGAGAGTTGTATTTTTTTTTTTTTTGGGGGCTGATGACGTGAGGTGAGGATGAGGTGGAAGGTGAGACACGGAGGACAAGAAAAAAGGTCAACAACGATTTCATTAACAGTCAACGTCCCATGAGTCTGACAGGAAGTTGTTGATTGATCTCTCTCTGTTCTTTTTAATGTTAAAAGAAACGAATGTACCGAGAATAGACTCAGGACAGGTTGGTAAAAAAAAAAAAAAAATCAGGACAGTGTATCCCCTGAAAAAATAGTTTAAAAACAAAAATGAGCATTAATTCTTATTTTAATTTCATTGCATGATCTGCTGATCAAAAGAAAAGAAGCAAAGCTGGCTTTTAATTGTTTGTTTGATGGCTGGTTATGTGAAGAATTATGAGTGGGCATCGTGTGGGGGATTCATACGACTTGCGAGCGTTAGAAACTTTTCATTTGCATGTTTGGGGTCAGGCATAATGAAGCACGATCCTCTACGAAAGATATTATAATGTGTGCGAAAGCACTTGGACCCAGATGGGGTTGTATTTTAATTCAGGTGACTTGTCGTCCTGGAAAAGGTATGCTTTATCTTCAAGATAGAGCTTATACGTAGTAGTTTAATGAACCAAACAAATAATATTGGTATTATAAATGATAAGAAGAATTTTAGTTAAAGATTAAGAAAGAGACTTAATTATTGATGGGTTTTAATTTTAAAACCTCAGTTTAGTCCATTAGAATTAAAATGAAGATAATTTGAATATTGAAAAGATGAAAATACTTTCGATTTACAAACCAACAAACATTTTATTTAATATCACTTGTTAATCTTTAGATTTAGTAAATTTTCTAACTTTATTTGTTATCAAACTCCATACAATTTACAAACCAATAGACATTTTATTATTCAATATCATTTGTTAATTTCCTTTATCACACTAGTTAACTTCTTGAGTTTATTTATTATCAACCTTTATACAATTTATAAACCAACAAACATTTTATTATTTAATCACTTGTTAATCTTTTATATCACACTAGTTAATTTCTTAGATTTATTTGTTATCAATCTTCATACAATTTACAAAGCAATGGACATTTTATCATTCAATATCATTTGTTAATCTTCTCTATCACACTAATTAATTTCCTGAGTTTATTTATTATCAACCTTCATTCAATTTACAAACCAACAAACATATTATTATTTAATATCACTTGTTAATTTTTTACATCACATTGGTTAATTTCCTGGATTCATTCGTTATCAACATTCATATAATTTACAAACTAACAGACATTTCATTCAACATTATTGGTTAATCTCTTGTATAAAATTTGTAAATTTTATAATTTTACTTGTTATCAAGCTTAATAAAATTTACATCTTCATGACAAGTAAACTAAGGATGTTTTTATTTTTTCAGCATTTAAATTATTTTCACTTCAATCTTAGAAGATTGAATTGAGATTTTAAATTGTTCTGGAACTTATCAATAATTAAGGCTCTTTCTTAAATCTTTAACTGAAATTCCCCTTAAGTAACAATAGTAGTAATCTGATAAATAAGAAAAGCAACACCGAGGAATCCTTGAGTATGACACGGCTTTACCCAACATGCCAGCATGGCAGCATTAAATAAGTTATTATTATAGAGATAGTAGAAGAGAAGAGAGGGGAAAATGCCACACTCTCATTCGGTGCCCAAATTTGTTCCTTATGCCAACTTGGCGCTAGCATACATCTGTGGCCGTGTCACGCCCTTCCCGCGAAAAATGTGGATTTGTTTCCTACTACGTTGTCGCTTTCATGACTTCGTCTCTACCAACCAAATCAACATCAAGCATTGCCCTTGTTTATTTTTAAAAAAATGAGCATCAAGCAATCAAATAATTTTGTGCAGAGGGTCTTCTACAGAAGCTGAATTAGAAGGTATTATATCAGATTTAAAAGTGTGCTAAGATCTTAATCTTGAGAACATTCAGATTCTCGATTCATTGAAGGGGATCCATATGATTATGAGGGAATGTGATCCAAATCATCCTCTCATACCTCCGTCTTTTGAAAGAAGTAGAAATCTTCTTCCAATGAAGGGAATTTATCAAAGATGCTGATTTATTGGCTAGAAATGCACAATGAGAATCATGGTTTTTGGGCAGTCAATGATGTCCCTAAGATCTGTCAGGAAATTGTTGATAAAGAAAAGAGCTTGTGCTCTAGTGTTTAAGTTTTGAAAATTTTTTATTCAAGATCCTTTTACTACACATAATAAAAAAAAAACCTTTAAATTCTAAAAATTCATTTCAATTCAGGAATATTAAATTGAAATTAAAATATAAATTATTATCTTATTATCCCTCATACTCTCTGATTCTCTACTAGAGTTGTTCATTTCTTTATAAAAAATTTGTTCATTAAGGTATAAGAGTTTTTTTCCTCTTATTATTGAATCTTGATTTTGTTCCAAGTGTTTTAATCATGGTAAAACTAATTGTTTATTTTTTTATATGAAATTGTTCATTGACCTATAAGAATTATTTGTATCATTATTGAACAACTTCATGTAGGGAAATAAAAAACTTTATACAAGTCAATGAATAATTTCATGTAGAGAAATGAACAATTTTAATAAAGAATCAGAGGGGATGAGGATAATAAAGTAATTTTACTCTACATTTAAATTTCACCTAAGTACTCCTAATTTGAAGTAAATTTTCAAAATTTAAGAGACTGTCTATTTTATTAAGTATGTTCAAGGGATTTTATTAAATAAAATTTTACCCTAACTCTTTGTAGCTCACTTCATTTCAAACTTAAGCTAGCCTTTTGTATTGAAAAAAACAATCAAATAATTTTCTTCTAGTCTTGCTTATATAGTATGAGTGAAATTTTTTCATTATTTATAAATTATGTTATTAATTCTTATCATATTTTTAACTCTCTATTAAATATTAGTGAAAAAAGTATATTTTGATAGAAACAAAATTAAAATTTTTTATTAATTGTTTAAACAAAATTAATAAATTTTAAATTTTTTCTTAATTTTGATAAAACACATTAAAATTAATAATAGAGAAATATGAGTATAAACGAAATAGAAAGAATAAGACGGCATTTAGGTGGAATTGTACGTAGAAGTTAAACCCCTAAATATATCACTTCCTCTTGCTTTAGATATAATATACATATTCATTTGAAAATTTTGGTTTGGTTTTAAGCATATGATCTTATTTTCTTATGTTAATTTTTTTTTTTCATACCATACCTTTATTTATTAATAATAAGGTTAAAAGACTCACCACAAAGAAAAATTGCAATTTTGTTGGTTAAAAAAAAGAAAAAGAAAAATTGCAATAATAAAATTAAAAACTAAAGGAATGATACAATGCTGCCCTCAAGGCGTAAACAGTTGCAGAGGCATCTAACTAAGGGCAACCTGCACAGGGCTCACAGGCCATGGAGCCCCTGACGACCTAGGGATTCGTGACAGCGATGCAAGTCTCCTTCTGTGGGCCCCACCATTGGCATTGGCCCACCACCTCGTTCCCACTACGCGACGCCGGCTCCACCTTTCTCCTTCCTCTCCTTTAACAACCTCCATCCCAACAGTCTTGCTCCTTTTGTTCTCTGCTTCACTTTCCTCTTCGTGCCGTGGCTTTGGCCTCCTCTTCAATCCCTCAATTCCTTTCTTTTCGCTGCTCTTCCCCCAAGTATGGGTGGTTGCGCTTGCCTGAATAATGGTATACTTGATTTTCCTATCCCTTGCCGCTATTCTTTACTTCGCTTGTAATCTACGTTCGGCCTCCACCGCCTCCGAATCGATTACGCTTTTCATCTTTATCACCATCCTCCATACAGTTTCGCGAAGTACCATACCGTCCTCATCCTCCTTTTAGCTCTTGTTTCTTCTTGATATCTTTCGGATGCTACATTTTCTCAGATCCAGTGGCTTTTGCGTCAACTCAATTTGATCAAGTTCTTTTGTTTTTTTCCCTCTCCATGGAACTGTCGGCGCCGCTGGTATTACTCTTCCGGTGAGTTGATATTTCTCCGTCTGTTTATAATTTGTATTTAGTATTTACAGTTTTCCAAGCGGCCAGAGTTTACCTTCTTGTTTGCACTTTTGGATCGTATTTGTTGTCAGAAATCCATCGTTTTCCTTATTAATTACTTGATTGTTTTCGCAAACTAATTCATGCTTATCATCTCTTTTTTGGGACTGAATGTTGGTGTCCATCATTTTGCTCCTTCAATCATAACGTGGACATCATGGCAAGTCCTCACGTCTACTTTTCTTAGACCAATCAATCAATCAACTCACGTGGCTTCCTTTCACAACTTACTCGCGAAAATGTCAAAATCTATGTAATGGTTGGAATATATCACCATGGCTGGAACGCTCATTTCCATGTTCTTCGCACTAGCATTGTCTTTGCCCTTGGATATTTTCTATATTTATTAAGCCATTTATGACTCTGGTTAAAATCTTAAGCTAACATTTGCAAAATTGGAATCAAGGACGTAGATTTCTCCGCCTTTGAAATCAATATATTCGTGTAGCTGCTTTTTCTGTCCCTTTTCAATTTGCTTGTGATGCCTCTGCCTTTTCACCAAATGCATTTTTGGCAAGTTATAGCCATTCTGCCGTGTTATCCTTTTTTTAGCACTTCCTTCTTCCGTTCCGTGTTATGAGAGTGAGTTAGGTTATTAAAATGAGAAATTTTCCAGATACATAATTGCAAGATAAGCTAGAAAATCCTTGCCAGCATGAGGTCCCACGGGTGGGTGAAACTCTGAAGTACGGCTTAAGCATATCTTCTGCCATGCCATTCGGTATACAGCGAAGTAATGAGTATTAAACCCCCGCTAAGGACATGGCATTACATTTAGAACTAAAAAAGATGAGGTCAAAAGGGCAACAAAGCAGCGCGAAGATAGTCAAGGAGAGGCTTGATTTGCCCCAATTCGAGAATGGTCTTAGTCCACCGCTCGGGAATCGCAGTCATGAAGTGAGACAGAATGCAGATGGTAAGACTTTTGTCCAGTCAACCAGAAATAGCAGACGGCAGAGCTCTAAGAGAAGGGCAACTAAAAGTGATGAGCTTGTCAAGCACATGACTAATTTGCCCCATTATCTCCTGCATGCTGATAGAGAAGAAAATATTCAAGACAATCCTTTAAATTTTGGAGTTTTAGATTGGACGCAGCTAGAAAAATGGAAGCACAAGCAAAGGTATGGGCCAGTAAAAGCTAGCAATTTCGCGTCATTTCAAGACGGTGAATCATCATCAAGAAAAACCACCAAGTCATCTGCCGCCGCCACTGTTGGAACATCTCATAAGCATGGCCTCTATGAAGGTGCCAAACCATGTTTTCAGAATGTCAGAAGACCTCGACATTTTGAAACTGAAGAGAAGAGGAAAGATCTGGATAAATCAGTTTCAGCAGTGAGAACTTTTGCATCCTTCTTGAGGCAGGACGGGGTCCCGCTAGTTTCTAATGAAAACAAATATGGCGGGGACAGTGAAGCTGAGAAGAGCATGGAGAGTTTGCAAGAGTCTAACCTCGAGAAAAAAGAGAAAAATCGTGAATTGAGGTCTGATATGGGATTGCGATCATCGAAGGTCAAGAGTAAAGGGATCTCTGTGGGTTCCAAGAAAAAAGGTGGCTCCCGCAGCAGCAAAATCAAGATAAGAAATGAAGAGTTGGAAGAGTCAGATATCGATGTAATGGAATCACATGATGACAAACAAGACCGTATCAGGCCAAATAATATTGTTCTGCTTCGTCCTCGAGAAATTAGTTCCAGCAGCAACAAAACCAATATAAAGGATAATCAGTTGCAAGAGTCAGATACTGATGCCAATCGCAAACAAGGCCCTGGGAAGCCAAAAAATATCGTGCTACTTCGCCCCCGACCAATCCCCCAATCGAGTTCTGACATTTTAGAGTTGTCTCGTAGAAGAACGTCATTTGACGAGTATTTTGCAGAGTCAAGTCGAAGTAGTTTGTCAAGCGTTTCCCTTTTTAAGGACATTGACTCCGAAGATGCATGCTCTAAAATTCCACATTCAAGTGAAATGTGTTCTATGGTTCAACCTGTTCCAACTTTAGGATCATTGCTTCTTAGAACTGATACTGATCAGGGTACAGACTGTTCTTCTGTTGCATCTGAGACACCTTCTTTCGCATCTAAGACCTCTACTCTGCATTCTGAAGGTGCTTACCTAGAAAGAGATGCGTTAAGCAATAAGCTTACAAATCAGTGTGATTTCAGTGACTTAAAGGAATCACTGGACCAGGAAACTGCTGAACTGGCTGCTAAGAGGAGCAGGAATCTATCCAGTAGTCGTCGTTTTAGCTTTAGTTTAAGTCGGATTGGAAGAAGCTTCAGTTTCAAAGAGGGATCTGCTCTTCCTCAACTTAGCTCCACATATGTTAGTGCAAAGTCTGGTCCCGTAACGTCTTCATCTTCTGCTCGTTGGTATAGTTCTAGCAAAGAGAAGGAAAATGGTCATGACAGAAGCAGGTCCAGCCCCTTGCGAAGGTTGTTAGACCCAATATTGAAGCGTAAGGCATCAAAGTTACGGCATTCAGCTGAAAGCAGTCAGGTACAAAAAGAAAGCTTGGACTCGATCAGCTTTAGGACAACCAGTGTTAGTGAATCGCTTCTAGATCAAATGAGCGAGAGTTCCTCAATCCAAGCCCATCTACAGGTTACAATAAAAAATGGACTACCCTTTTTCAAATTTGTGCCCAACAATGAAGTGGAGATTCTCGCTGCTGCTATGAAAAGCTTAGAATCATCAGTGAAGGATGATTTGAACTACTATTTTACATTCTACCTACTCCATGAAGTTAAGAAAAAGAGTGGCGGATGGATAAGTCATGGAAGTAAAGAAAAAGGCCATGACTACGTCTACAATGTTGTTGGTCAGATGAAGTTCTCTACTTCTACAATCACAAAACCAAGCAATCAAGACTCTAAGACACTGTCTGTGCAAAAAGAATATGTCTTATCGAGTGTTGAAATTGACCAGACAGATCAAGGGCCACCAAAGGTCATTCGGAGAGGGGAGCTTGCTGCTGCTGTTGTTGAGATCCCATTGGAAAGCCTAATCCATAAAGGTCCACGTTGGGATAATAATTCGGTGAAGGGATGCTTAAAATGCTCGGCAGAAGAAAGATGTAGATGCAACTTGGGAGAAAATGATATCTCAGGGAGCACTACAGTCATACTGCCTGGTGGCATCCATGGGTCATCGGACAGAGGAGAACCTTCACCATTGATCCATAGATGGAGATCGGGTGGCCTATGTGACTGTGGGGGTTGGGACATCGGTTGCAAATTGCTTGTCCTCTCCAATCCAAGGCTCAGTTCAGAATCTCAACGTGAATATTTTCAGCTTTTTGTTCAGGTATAATAGTCCTCTCATGTATGCCATTCTAAATTTACTGTTCTGACAGCATTATGTAAGCCATTTACATGTCTTTTGTCTAACTTCTAGGAAGGTGCTGAGCCAGACAGCCCCGCTTTCAGTTTGGTGCCATTGAAGGAGGGATTATACTCGGTTGTATTCAATTCGTCGATCACTCATTTACAGGCTTTTTTCATTTCAATTGCTGTGTTAAGCTGCCAGAAACCAAGTTCATTAGAAATGACCGTGATGCAAGAACAAATTTTTAAAGAACTGAGCAGTTTGAAGAGCGGTAACAACCTTCCTGGGAATGCGCCTGTGAATTATACTCCAATTCCACCACCCTCCCCTGCAGGAAGAGTTTAATTTTTGAAACACGAGGTTTTTCGTTGTTCATAGATAGCTGGCAAAGATCTCCCGAACCCCGATTGCAAAGGAGACTTTTTCCCTCTCTTCACAATTTCGTAGCTGCTATTTGATAGTTTTTTACTTTTTCTCCTGCTGAGCAACTTGTGGCGAAAGGTATGCTCATGGAACCTTCTCATTCATTGTACTACTACAGCACCTCCGTCTTTGTACAAATCAACATGTGAATAAATAAAATCAGTGGGGGTAATACACTTCAAGGTTCAAATCCTTAGCCTTGATGCCTTTTCCTACTTAGAGAAAGATATAAGATTATGTTAATTAATTTGTATTTTTCTTGTTTGGCTTGGATATTTTGAAGGCAGGTTACCAGCCTTTTAACTTTTATAGCCCATTTGTAATTATACATCACTTTACTTCGGCCCGAAAATTATATCATATTGGACAATGATTTTACTATGATCCGGGTCCAATTCCGTTTTTTAAAAAATGGGCAAGGGCGACGTTGGGCACGACCTGTATTTGTTGAAGAGGTTTATAGTTGTTGAACCCAGCTTGAATACAGTTTCACAAAAAATGGTCCAATTGATAAAGATTTAATCTATAACTTATGAGGCCATGGGTTTTGACCTCATTGCTGATGTGAGGACTTTAATGATAAATGCTTTGTAAGTACCTTTCTAGGTATTCTAAATTTATAGGCATACCTTAATTTTAATAAGTTTTTAAAATTCAACTCACATAAGCTTTTCATTATTAAAAAAATAACTCTTGTGGTCTCAATTTACTAACTTATAGCCTGTTGGTGGAAGAGCTTTTAGACTTTCAATTACGAGCAATGGTTAGGCTTTTAGTTTCTCTGCACCCCCGTCGAAAAAAAAAAATTGAAAAAACATAATTTAGTGGCAGATGGCGTCAGGCGAATCAAGAACTGTACAGAAATTCTATCCAGGCTTTTACCTGTCTCAGTTAAAAAAGAAGAAGAAGAATTGTACAGAAACATTACTAGTTTTTCAAGGGTTTTAAAAGGATTCTAGATTTTATAGATGAAGTGATCAAGGAAATGGGGTGGGCTGTAGGTACATGTTAATGATTTGATTCTCACTCTATCTATTTTAAATTATAAAATATTTTTAGAAAATATTTAATATTTCAAAATATAAAATACTTTAACAAAAATAAAGTTTTATTAATAATATTTTTTTAATATCACAATTTTCATTATATTCTTTTTTTAATATTCTTTCATAAACTAAGTATAAAATGCAAGGCCTTATGTGACACCATGCCATTAAAATCATCACCTTAGGCCTAAAAATATTCACTTATACCCTATATAATCAATCATTATTTTTCACATTAAGCATTAATGTTAATTATATATTTTCATTAAGAATTTATTGTTTGTTAATAATTTTGGTTTTGCACTTATAAATATACTATCACAACAAAGCGCTAAAACTTGCAAGTGTATTACTTGCTCTCATACGTGATTTTGCACATCAAAATCTATTATCACTTTTGTATGACAAATCACGCGTGAAACATTTACATTCTCTTGCATGAAATGGCTAGCAGAAAGTCAAGACTATTCAATGTGATCAAAAATCACGTGGAACCAAAATCATATCACGTGTGAAATTATAAGTGCTGATATATAAACTTATTTAATGCATGGATTTTGTGAAACTCGTGATACAATCTTTAATCACTATTTTTTTATTTTTAGTAACCAGCCATTTTGCTAAGATACTTGGGTACAATGATGCTGTAACTGTGGGATTCAAGATTGTTTGAGATTATGTCTTTATGTACTAATGGTCCACGGAGTAAGTTTGCAACTGGCAGGATTTTGACATGCTTATCTATCCCAAGCTTTCCACTAAGATCGAGGCTGGCCCTTAGATTATTGATTGGGCTTGACTCTTCAGTTACGCCCATATTACTTGATGGCCTACTCAAATACTTTGGCAGGCAACGTTTCGTATTTAGCCCAAACACTTTCAAAAAAAAATTCACAACCATACTGATATATGTATAGTTCTAAAATAATTATGATTTAAAATATAATAAATAAATTAGTCAATGTAATTTATATTTATTTTTTAAAAATTTATTTAATTTAAACACAACATTTCTACATTATTTGTTTAACTATTTTCATAATTATTCAAAGTTTCTTAAATTGAGAGGGAGAGAATATAAAATTAGATTATAAAAGAAAATTAATAAATTTATTTTTTAAAATAATTAAAAAGAAAAATTAAAGTATTTTATAATATTTAACAGAATATTCTTAACTGTGTTAGAAATTAGATTAAAGTATAGATTTTGAAAATAAAGGAGAGGTCTCTGTAATTTTAACAAAATAGAGGGGTGGTCATTGTAATTTGTTCAATTAATTAATATTTACCGTGAATAAAAGTTTTTAAATTAAAAACAAGAACAATTAATATGGATAGCAACCATGCGCCTTCTCCTTTCTCTAAAAATCCATCCGTTTTGTTTTTGCATTGAGTGTTTTATTTCTTTTACTTTATAAATTGTATTGTACTATTTGTTTCTTTCCTTCTTTATAGGTTGTGGGGATATTGTTATGTGCCTCACTATCAATATCAATATCATTTTTTATATTTAAACTAAATAAAAGTTAATACCTTTAATAATATTTAAATTTAAAATTAAATTAAGAAAGTTGGCACTATGAATATCATTAATATAACTGGATTACTTGAGGTTTTGGATTAATCTAAGACCGTCTGTATTGGCCATTTTATTTATTTTAGCCACAAATCTTTTTTTTAATATTTAAATTTGTCACTAATTAAAACACGTTTTTTAAATGACATGTGTAGTTGTCAAGTTACCATGACAATAATTTAGGTCTACCTTTTTCTTTATTTTTTTTTTGGGCCGAAGAACATTTTAGGCTTACCAATGACATGGAAAGGAGATAAAGAGTAAAGCAAGAATGCGACTATTGAGAGAAAGGGAGCTGTAGCATTAAAATTGTAATTGATAAAATGTGATGTGTAGGGTACAAGGAGGGGTATTTGAAAAGTTGTAATTGATGATGATAGTGTGCAATTCCAACTCTCACCTGTCCTCCTTCTCTCTTCAAATTCAAAGTTCTCCCTTCTCTCTCTAGCCAAGAAATAATTAAAAAAATAAAACTTATGTGTCATACAAAGAAAAAATAATATTTAATATAAAAGTTAAAGCAAATGTTAATGTCATATTATTATTAATAAAAAAGGAATTTGAATATTTGGATAAAGCTCATTTAGACTTGGGTTTATTTGACTTGATTAAATTTGAAGTAACAAAATGGGACAATATTAACATATGAAATCTTAAATTTTGGATGGCTAAGAGAGGTTATCTGATTAAATATATTATTAGCTAGATTTGAATTAGGTAACTATAGTTAATATAGGTATTGAGTGCTGATACCATCAAAGTAGTTAAAATTCATATTAATGGTTTAGATAAATTTACTTATTCATTTATTTTAAGTGAAGTATAAATTCAAAATTATTAATCGAAATTTTAATAATTTAGAGTGCAGATACTAAATATAATTATTGAATTTAAATTCATTGTTGGCATGTAGAAAATCTTGAGAATCCTAAGCAAAGCGGTGGTCTCTAATCCTTGTATTAGTTATTAATATAATTACCTCTTTCACATGTAATGCCTATTGTTTTTCAGTTTTTTCTGTGATTGTATTAGTTATTAATATAATTACCTCTTTCACATGTAATGCCTATTGTTTTTTAATTTTTTCTGTGATTGAGACAGCATCTCTATGCCATCTTCCTCTTACTTCTTACATATATTGGCATGGTTGTGATTTTTTTTAAGTTAGCAAATGGCTTTTAGTATTATATGAAAGACTAGGTATGAATGGAATGTGTACTATATACAGACAAGGTTTGCATTTTATATTTTTTAATATTATATTTTAAAAAAATATTTATAATAGACAAAGTGTGCTCCCTAGTCATGTTAAAGTGTTAAGCCCATAGTCATATCACATCAAGCCTACTCTCTATATGTGTAGGCTTTAATACAAGCCTTTTAATGAATTTTTTTCTTTTTTTTCTTTTACCAACTTTATTAATAAATTCAAATGAGCTGTATTTTTTTGACCCAAAAAAATAAGCCGTGTTTAAATATATTAAATCAATGAGTTTTCCAATATAAATTAGGGCCTAAGAGTTGTGCCTGATGCCACTCAATAATTATTAGAAAAATTAATATTAACAACCTCGAGATTGATCCCATGAAATTGTATAGGAAATTTCAGTTGGAATTTAGAATAACTTTCTTTTATTAAGATTTGTAATAGAAAGTTATTTTTTCTATTTTTTTAAATTTATAAAACACTTTTAATTATTTTTTAAGAATTAAAAAATAATTAAAAGTGATTTGTATTAGTATGATAATAAAAAGTCATCACTATTTTTTAAAGTTATCACCCAATTAAAGCCAAAAAATTTTAATTACCTTTACTTTCATTTTTATTAATCTTTCCCAAAGTTACACTTTACAAAAGAAAAATGAAAAGAATCAACAGTCTTGTTTGATTACATTGGCAAAGTGAGCATTTCACTCTACAGGATGATCTTATCATCTCTTATGATGACCCCATTCTCATTGACCACTGACCTTTTTAAATAAATATTTGTTTGTTTTTTAACTCTTCCCTACTTGCCTTTTTAATAATAGAATATGAGCACCTTTGAGGAAGTGAAGTGCCCACGTGGAGAGAGAAGCAAGCAAAATGCTATAAGACTCTATTTATTTAATAACTTATTTCATTTAAAATGTATTGTGCTTAGGATGAATATGTTAATCTTCAATAATTATACACTACTTCTGATAATATGAGAAAAAATTTAAAAAAATAAAAAATAATTTTTATTATTAAGTTATGCTTCAGAGTAGAAAATTTATTCTCAATAAATATTATTAAATCTATCACTTGGTGCTCCAACAAATTAAAATATAAGTAACAACTTTTTATTTGTTATGTGTCATTCTCATGCATAATAAAAAAATATAAACATGTTTAAAATTTCTTATCCATTAAAAGTTAAAATAAAATTAAGTTTAGTCTGTTTTAGAATATTTTGACTCATTCATCACCTAAAAAATAAAACTTTTATTATAATAAACTGTATAAATAATAATTATTGCTAAAATTAAAAAATAAATGTATTCTAAAGTTAGCAAATCGCAGCATTAAAAAAGGGTAGAAGTATGTGATGTGAATAGATCAAGTTGAGAGGGCAAGGGAAGAGAATCGTACGATTAAAGCTATGATTGATAAGATGTAGTCCAGAGATTGTGACATCAATCTTCTTGTAACAATTTTTTTTACCACTATGCCCCATTCAAGGATTAATAATTGAAAGGTCTTGGAGATGGAAAAGAAAAGGATCAAAGTCATGACT